TTTATTTTCTTTTTCTTAGTAAGTCCCTTTAACATTTCATATAGTAAGGGCTTAGTGATGATGAACTCCTTTAACTTGACCTTGTCTGGGAAGCACTTTATCTGCCCTTTCATTCTAAATGATAGCTTTGCTAGATGGAGTAATCTTGGATGTAGGTCCTTGCCTTTCATAACTGGGAATACTTCTTTCCAGCCCCTTCTTGCCCGCAATGTTTCTTGTGAGAAGTCAGCTGATAGTCTCATGGGCACTCCTTTGTAGGTAACTGTCTCCTATTCTCTTGCAGCTTTTAAGATTCCCTCCTTAACTTTAGTCTTGGTTATGTAATTGTGATGTGCCTCGGTGTGTTCCTCCTTGGGTCCAATTTCTTTGGGACTCTGAGCTTCCTGGACTTCCTGGAAGTCTACTTCCTTTGCCAGATTGGGGAAGTTATTTTTCATTATTTTTTCAAATAAATTTTCAATTTCTTGCTCTTCCTCTTCTCCTTCTGGCATCCCTATGTTTTGGATGTTGGAACGTTTAAAGATGTCCTGGAGGTTCCTAAGCCTCTCTTCATTTTTTTGAATCCTTGTTTCTTTATTCTGTTCTGGTTAAATGTTTCTTTCTTCCTTCTGGTCCACACCATTGATTTGAGTCTTGGTTTCCTGTCCATCATTATTGGTTCCATGTACATTTTCCTTTATTTCGCTTAGCATAGCTTTCATTTTTTCATTTAATTTGTGATCATATTCAACCAAGTGTGTGAGCATCCTGATTACCAGTGTTTTGAACTGTGCATCTGGTAGGTTGGCTATCTCTTCATCACTTAGTTGTATTTATTTCTGGAGCTTTGACCTGTTCTTTCATTTGGACCATCGTTTTTGTCTCAATGCACCTGTTATGTATAAGGGAAGGAGCCTTAGGTGTTCACCAGGGCAGGGCAATACGTCAGTGCGTTGTGACGCTGTATGTTGGGGAGGAATCCAAGAGGAAACAATGCTGCTTGCCTTGCTCTCTGCCAGTTTTCAGTCCCTTCCCCCACTACCCACAATCAAATTGAGCCCTTCTGGTGCTGATTTCTGTGGGTGGGCTTGCGTACATTCTAGGACCCTGTGTGTCTCTCCAATGGACTCTCCTGTGAGGCTGGGAGTTTATCCCACTGCCACAACCCCCACAGGTGTTTTCAGTCAGAGGTTTGAAGCTTTATTTCCCTGCAGTTGGACCATGGTTTGTGAAGTCTATCTTGCTCTGCAGTTGTTCTTTCCAGTTTATCTGCACTTGAATGTGGGACCACCCAGTCCGCAATCCACTACCTCATCGGGTCTATCAGCTGCAGCCTTGCCCTCCCCAGTCCTCCAGCCACTGCTGTGCTGTGAGTCCTCTCTGCACTGGCTGCCCGTGCCCACCCCTCCTACTGGTCTTGATGAATGTTTCTTCTTTAACTCCTTGGTTGTTGGACTTCTATACAGTTCAATTTTCTGTCAGTTCTGCATGGTTTTGTTTTTAAATTTGTTGTTTTCCTTCTTTTGGTTGTGCATAGGTAGTGTGTCTACCTACACCTCCATCTTGGCAGGAAGTCCCAAAAAAGGATACTTTTATTTGGGGATTTGATTAGGTTCTGACTGGAAGAAGTTAAGAAGGGCATGGCATGGCTGAGAAGAGGGTGGATGTTGGAGTCACCATGGGGAAAAGGGGTGATTGGCTAGGTGAGGCACTAAATGCCAGGCTCTGGGCAGACATTGTAGATGTGCAGACGCAGGCCTGCCTACTTTGGGGGTTACTCTCCCTTTTACTGTGACACACAGAAGATGGAGAACACACCCTGGTGTGAGGATGTCTGTATGTTGTATGTCACACCCTTGGGTGCAGGGGTGCATGTCTCCGCGGTGTGATGTGTTTGGGTCTGTTACGTGTCACTGAGTAAGTGTATCTGTATTTCCATGCTGTGTGCTGTGTATGGGTGGATGGAGGGTCTATTTTATGGGTCTATGTAGGTGTGTCTGAGTATATGGGCGGGTGTGAGAGAGCCATAGGTGTGAGTGTGTGTCTTTTGTGTGGGGTCTGAAGTGTGTGTTTCTGTCTCATTCTGGGTTTGAGTGGTGCGTGGGTGAGAGGCACCCGGGTGCGTGCCTTGTTGCTGCTACTGGGTGCCCATAATGGGTACAGGGCCAATTCAGCTGTGGTCCCTATCCTGGGGGACCTTAGGGAGAGGCCTGAGTGACGATTTGACTCCTAGACTGTCGTCCCTGAGTGAATGACCTCTCATTGAGCAATAATTAACTTGGCCACCATGAGAAGAATTCAAACTGTGGTGGTGAAGGGGGTGGGGACTGGTGAAGGCAGGCCTTATTGCTGGAGAAAGGAGGAGGCCTCAAAGGGAGTCCCATAGGCATGTGTGTTGCTATCATTCCTTCCTGTCTACCCTGCAGGTCAGTCACCCTGACCAGGGTGCTATTCAAAATATTTAACAAAGAGTGAGGAACAGGGATTGACCAATCAGAACAGATATAAGCTGTGCCCTGAATGGAACAGTCTGGGAAGCCATGGCTATGTCAAGCATTGCCTCTCTAGTTGCTGAACAATGGGAATGGATTCTGGGAGAAGGACTGGGATACAGGGGCAGTACAAGAGAGTTCAGGGGGCTTAGGGAAGTGGCTGTGAACCAACGTCATGGAAGTGTTTTAGACTTTAACAACTAAACCTCTACTTGCCTTAGCCTTTGAACCCAGCCATGGGTGTCCTTGCCCACTCCCATTGGGAGAATCATGGACCATCCTCTTCTCTTGGCTGTGGGCATGGGGTAAGTGAATCATGCCAGACTGTAGAAATTCCAGACACTTTGCCTGTTTCAGACTAATGACATGGGATGGGCTGCTTTGTTTTCCTCACCGGCTGTGATCTGATTCTTATTGAGGTGAGAGGGAACTTGTAGGAGGCAGGAGCTAAGGTGGGGGTCAGTAAGGAGTTGGGGGACAAAGAGAAACCCCTTTCCTTCAAAGATAAAGGCAAGGAGGTGATGAGGCTCTGAACTAGATTCATCTCATGCAAATAAATCTCATCCCCAGAAATGAAATCATCACCCGCCTCTGAAAATTAATATTCCATTTCTCTGAGGTCTGGCTCCTACATTCCTTATGGTTCCTTCCTCTTGGGCTTGCTGTGATGGGGTCTGGAGGCTGGAGTCTGGAGGCTAAGGTGAGATGGTCCCTTCTACGTGCACAAACTACAGTGTCAGGCTCCAAGGGTATAAAACATTTTATTACAAAAACTAATAAGTTAGTTATGTACAAAGTCAGTAGGACATCTAGTCCAATAGCAGTCTAAGCTTTCATCCCCACCCCAAGAGAGGACAGGAATCTTGCACCAGAAAATATGGGGACTACCAAGGGCTCGCCAGACATCTGGAGCACTGTGCCAGACCAAGGAAGGCCAAGACAGGGTGTGGCCGAGTGAGGGTCCATTCAGTCCATCTGGCTGTGCCAGGGCCAACTTGCTTCTTGGAAGCCAAGTGTTGTATGCATAGGCTTGCCCCTTTGGGAGCGCTAGGTCAGCCCTGGGGACAGCTTGGCCAAATCAGTGCTTCCAACTTCTGCTCAAGCTACAGCTGATCTCTGCTTGGACTGGAGTCGGTCGACTCCTCAGCAAAAGCTCATCTTCGAGCAGGCCAGTGATGTCAACATCTCCAATGATGGGGCGAAAGAAGAGGTCCCCAAGCAGGCTGGGAGGAATGGACTTAAGGGTAGAGGCTGTGAGGAGGACACGAGCCAAACGGCCTTGGCTTGCTGGGCACCAGGGTTCCAGGACCTCACACAGTGCTTGATGAGCTTCCTGTTGCAGGTGCCAGATGTGGGAGGAGGCATGAAGGCCTGGTATGTCTGTGGGCAAAGGGCGAAGAGGGCTGGTGAGCACCCCATGCCCAGCCACCCCTGGGTGAGACTGGCTACATACCTGAGGCTACTGCTCAGCCTTTGAGGCCCCACTACCAGCTCCTTCATTTACTTTTTTCACTTTATTCATTCATCGATTTATGAAGAGGCAGTATAGAGTAATGGTAAAGAGCCAGGCTGCCTGCGTTTGAATCATAGGTTGTCACTTATTAGCTGTCTGACCTCGGGCAAGTTATATCAGCTCTGTGCCTTGGTCTCCTCATCTGTAAAATGGGTATAACATTAGTAACTCAGCTTGTTATTTCCTCAGCTTGTTATTTTTAAAAGATTTTATTTATTTCTTTTTAGAGAGAGGGGAAGGGAGGGAGAAAGGGAGAGAAATATCATTGTTCAAGGGAAATATTGATAGTTGCCTCTCACAAGCCCCCAACTGGGGACCAGGCCTACAACCAAGGCATGTGCCCTTACAGGAAATGAAACTGATGACCCTTAAACTCACAGGCCAGTATTCAATCCACTGAGCCACACCAGCCAGGGTCTAGGCTTGTTACAATGTTTAAATGAGCTTGTATATGTAAAACTATAGAATTGGGCCTAACATATGGTGAGTGTAATATGAGTATTTTCCTACTATTATTATGATTAATTACTACAATTTTTTGCAGGCCTCTTGGCAAGGAATTCTCATCTAGATGCTCTGCAGATTACAAAAAACACTACCTCAATCCATTGCTTTCCTGGCTGCACTTTACAAAGGCTCCTCCCTCCCCTCCCCCACACCTCCTTATTTTCATTCCTCTTCTCACATAATGTTACTTGTGTCTGAGGCACAGCTGTGTCCGCCTACCCTTCCCTCCCTCACTCCCACCTTTCCTGAGGGTCAGGGCAAGCTTTTTGGGCAGAGTGGCAAGGGCCAGTCTTTGGTGTGGACAGATTTAAGTTTCTATTCCTGCTCTGCCCCTACCTGGCTGTGACCTTCAGCAAGTCACTTAGCCTCTCTGAGCCTCTTTCTTGAGATGACTGATATAAGGAGGATCTAAAGAGATAACAAATGTCAAACCTTTAGCGGGTGCCTTCCCTGGCCAGGCCCTCCCCCATCCAGCTTCGGCCCTCATCCTGGAGTGTCTGGGAGCTCACCAGGGTTGAAGAGGATGGTCCCTTTCAGGTAGGCATACTCTTTGGGGCCCAGCTCCAGGCTCCAGATGGACCCCAGGCAACACTGAAGCCACTGCACTGCAGCAAGTGAGGGCTGGGGCTGATCCGGCTGCTGGCCACTGCCTGTACTCCTGTTAGGCTCCTCCAGCAAGATCTTCTTGAGTATGCTGGGAACTGGGGCCTCCATCACCTCGAAGGTCACAGTGTCTTGGGCCAACCCAATCAGGAAGAGGGGGCCCCAGCAGCCCCGCAGCAGCTGCCGCTGATCCTGGGGCAGCAGCTGGCAGAAGGACGGCAGGTTTTTGAGGAAAACCACTGTCTTGGCCAGAACGTCCAAGGCTTCCCGGCAGGTGCGATGTGGGGCGCACAGCCTGACAGGCCGGTGCTGCCTACAGAGGCAGTGCCTAGGGGCTGGGGACACAGAGGGCCTGGCCCTGAGGCTGGGGCTCAAAAGTGCATACAGAATGGCTGGGCGTTCTGCAGCATACTGGCACGGGCAGGTTCCTGCCTGGCTGGAGCTCATGGTCGAAGATCCACTCCTCCTTCCTCCAAGCTCTCCCGCCCTCCCTCTGCTCTGCACTGTGGGTGCTATTTATATTCCCAATGGGGAGGAGGGGGGAATGGCCTGACAACCTTGACTCCAGAAGTCATGTTCATTGAAAAAAAAAAGAAATACACTGACCCTGGCAGGCCTGGTGGGGAACTGCTGGGGGAGGGGTACTTGGGAGTTCCACGTGGCCCTGATATCGCTTCAGTCAATGAAGTGAATGGTGCAGGGCATGGGGCCACCTGTCCACTGGCCCAGCTGCCCCTTATCGGATGACTCAGGTGGATAAACAGGGTCATTAACCCAAGCTGTACCAGGGCATCAAGGCCTCAGGTGCACAATCAGCAGGTGACCATGGCAGCTGTCCCTACTGGTGCCTGCAGGACTCACTAAGCTGGGAAGGCAGCCCCAGAGCTGGACAAGCCTTGAATACGAGGCCCAACCTGGAAGTGCCTTATCACTGGCTTGTTTGCCTAACCTTGAGGCTCAGTTCCTGTTGTTGGTAAGGAAGAGGCTGCAGGGAAGGGAGCCAGAAACCTGGGGGCTGGGAGGACTCTGCCCACTGTGTAGTTCGGGAGGCTCCTTCCTCTGACTCCAGTTCTGGGACCTCTGCAGAAATAAGATCCTTAAGAACTCTCCTTCCCCAATCTGGATTCCTAGAGCTCCTGAAAGGCTGTATCTGTCGGGAAGCCCTTGTAGGATGACAGTGAAATATGGCTGCTGCTTACCTACTATGTGCTGGGAACTCTCCACTCTAGTCTTCAGAGCTTCCCTATGAGGTAAGATTTTTACTTTTGAGACTCAGAGAGGTGAAGCGAATTGCCCAAGGTCATGATGCTAAGAAAAGAGAGAGAGAGAGAGAGAGAGAGCCCAGATCCGTCTGATTTCAAAGTCTTCCCTTGTTCTTCCACACCCATTGACCCAAATGTGCAGCTAGAAGAACTCTGGTGGCCTGAGTTTCCTAGCATTGGTGGCTATCTGGGCCCTCACCTTGGCACTGCCTTGTTTGCAGATGTTGCCCACTTATACCTATGCAGAAACATTGCTCTGTCTCTAGCCACATGGCAACTCTGTCCTTGGCAACTGTCTCAGGTGTTAGGGCATGCAGTATGAGAATGGCAGGAAGGTCCTCAGCTGTGTCATGTCTGTGGACCTTACCAAGCCCAGCCTGCCTGGGCAACCATCACTGTCCCTGACACTAACTCCTGGCTCCCAGTTGCGACCTTGGGCTGGTCCCCAAATCTCTGTGAGCCTCAAGAACTTCATCTGGAACAGTAACGCCTGCCTATAGGGCTGCTGTGAGGACAAAGTGAGGTCCTGGATCCAAATTCCAAGCAGTTTCTGGCATATGTTAGGACTTTGCTCCCGCATTGCCTCTGCCTAAGGACCTAAGTATCAGCAGACAAATGAGGCATGCCTCTTTCATTTGATTGTTAGTAATTTTAAACCTTCTATTTATAAAGTCCCTTTCATGTCCTTTTTTCCCCTCAATCTTCATATCTTCCCCTCAAAGGAGACTCTGGGGTCAGACTGCCTGAATCTAAATTCTGCTGCCTCACTTAGCCGGTGACCTTGGGCAAGTCACTTTAGATTTCTGTGCTTCAGTTTCTTCATCCTTAAAGGGGTAGCAAGAAAGGCCAATAGTGGATATTGGTTTTGTGGGTCCTAAAACTTATACAATTTGGAGGGCCCTCTTTTTTCATTTATTGATTTGAGAGAGAGAGAGAAAGAGCGAGACAGCAATTTTGTTGTTCTACTTAGTTATACATTCATTGGTTGATTCCTGTATGTTCTCTGACCAGGGACCAAAACTGCAACTTTGGCATATCAGGACGATGCTCTAACCAGCAGAGCTACCTGGCCAGGGTGGAGGGCTCTCTTTAATAATAGAAAAGCAAGTATAAAAGTGGGTATTTAAAATGAGAAAACAAGTCACTACCAATTACAAACTAAAATGAGCTGACCAAAAACACAAATAGCAGAAACTCAGGAAAATATCAAAATACCTTTGCTGACCAGTTGCCTGACAATATCTGCCTGTGTGTTTTAGCTGTGCACTTTTTGCTCATCTCTTCACCTGTCAATGCTAGTTCTTTTGAAATCATCACAAACACAAAAAGTTTGCAAGTACAGGGAACTTTTTTTACTTTGAACCATTGAGAGTAAATTTTTGCCTTCCTAATGCCTCAGAACTCTTGAATACTTTAGTGTGTAATTCCTACAAAGACATCCTCCTATATAATCATAATATAATAATCAAAATCAAGAAACGAACATCCAATCTCAGACCCCATTTCAGTTTCACCAAATGCTCCTGTGACATAAGTTACAGTGGAAGGGCCCAGTCCAGAAGCTCGTACTGCATTTCTTTGTCCTGTCTCCTCATCTCTGCCAGTTGGGGAACTTTCTCTCAGTCTTTCCTTGCCTTTCAGGACCTTGACACTTTGGAAGGGTTGTAGTTATTTGGTTGCAAAGCTCTCATTTTGGGTTTGTTTGAGGCTTCCTTATGATTAGCTTTGAGTTACATAGCTTTATTTTTTATTTACAAATGTTTTATTTATTGATTTTAGAGGGAGAAACAATTTATTGCTTCTCTTATTTATGCATTCATTGGTTGATTTTTTTTTTTTACTTTACTTATTTAGCCCTGGCTCGTGTGGCTTCAGTGGATTGAGTGCCGGCCTGTGGACTGAAATGTTGCTGGTTTGATTCCCGGTCAGGGCACATGCCTGGCTTGTGGACTAAGTCCCCAGATGGGGGCATGCGAGAGGCAGTGGATAGATGCATGTCTCACACATCGATGTTTTTTTTTTAAAAACATTTTACTTATTTTTATTTCTTTTAAAAATATTTTATCTATTTTATTTTTAGACAGAGAAGGGAAGGGAGGGAGAAAGAGAGGGAGAGAAACATTGATCAGGGTCGGGACCAAACCAGCAACTCAGGCACGCACCCTGGCTGGGAATCAAACTGGCATCCTTCTGTCTTGTGGAGGATGCCCAACCAACTGAGCACACCAGTCAGGGCACTGGCGTATTCTTGTATGTGCCCTGACCGAGGATCGAGCCCACAACCTTGGTATATTGGGACAATGTCTAACCAACTGACCTACTGGGCCAGGACCAAGTTATGTATCATTAGTAGGAGTATCACAGAAGTGATGCTGTGTTCTTCTTGACACATCCTTTCAAGGAACACACATATCCATTTGTCCCATGGTTTACTTTGGTCACTGATTAAGGGATGTCTGCCAAACTTCTCCACTATAGTTACTCTTTCTTCTTCGTAATGAATCAGTATTTTGTGAGGAGGCATTTTGAAATGATGTAGCTATTCCTCCTCATACTTTGAATGTATGTATGTAGGTACTTAGGTATGAACTCATGGTCTCCTGTTTTACTCAGTGGCTTATAATCTGTTATTATCATGATTTATTTTGATGCTCAGATTGTCACAGATTTGGCCAAAGGGGGCCACATTCAAGCTGGAGTCTATATTCTTTTGATATTCCCCATGATTCTCTGAACACCTTTTATTTTCTGGTAAAACAAAATGTCATTTTTCCAGCTCCTGTAATCAACCACTACTCCAGGAAGCTCAGACTCAATCTTTTAGTGGAGAATAGTGTGTAAAACTGTGATCTGGGCACTGGAGTCATATTTAGAAAGCAAGATCTGCTCATTGCTGTTAGGGTGTCACTGGTCCCAGGCCCTCCCAGAGCTAAGGGACGTGGGTAACACAAGTGCACTAACACACATTTATATTGAGGTCTATACCTACTTACAGATAATAAAAAACATGAATTCAGATTATTTGCTGCAATGTTAATGTACTATAATGGGGTTTATTCCAGTTCTCACCCTTTCTATATTTATGCTCCCCTTCTCTGACACTGATAAATCTGGCTTCCATTATTCTTAATTTATTAACTTGTTGGATCATGCCTCTAGTTGTAACCAATCTCCCATCTCTGCCCTACCCCATGCCATGAGAGAGAGAGATACCTTCCTCACCCGACTTGGGCCCTGATACCTTTTGCCAGGCTGTCCCACCCCCTGCCACTCAGGGTCCCCTTCTTCACCATGCTGAGCCTCTGTCACCTCATGCCAGGTTACCACCACTGATGGTTGCCCTCCTCATCTTGCTGGGGCTTTGACTTCCACTTGGGCACATAACTCTACCTTGTTGTGCCCAACCTAATTGTTTTAGGACTAAAATTTTTCAAGAGAAAGAAAGAAGAGGTAAAGCTGTCAATGACTATTAAAAATAAATTCCGACTTCCGCCAAGATGGAGGTATAGGTGGATGTGCCGTGCCTTCTCACACAACCAAGTTTAGGGACAACTAAATATTAGCAACACAAAACACAGCCAGAACACGGAAAATTGAACTTTTCGGAAGTCCGTTAACAACAAATTCTGCAGCCTGACCAGTAAGGGGCGAAACCAGTGGCTGGTGGAGCGGGATTGCACAGGAGGACTCGGTCAGACGGGCTCAGGCGCGGAATCCAGAAGCGGAATCCAG